CTAGTTTCGATACATTTTCTATTTTCTTTTTTGTTTCGAATTGGCTATTAATCCTGAGTTTGGCTCTGACAAGTCTATGATCGCTACCGGTTGAGAAGCGGTTCAGTACTGTAACATCTTTGATGATGGTTTTTTCTGTTGTAAGGATGTAATCTATTTCATTTTTTGTATTACCGTTGGGGCTTATCCATGTCCATTTTCTTTGTGGTTTTTTGTTAAAAAACGAGTTCATAGCAAAAAGTTGTCTCTCCTCCAAGTAGTTCATTAATGTGTGTCCTCTATTATTTCTTTCACCATAGCCATACTTTCCAATTCTATGTTCTTCTCCATCTATTCTTCCCCCTAATTTGGCATTGAAGTCTCCAATTATTAGCGTCAATTTAGTTTTCTTTTCTTCCATAGCGAGTGTTAGTTCTTCGTAGAAGTTTTCAATATCTTCATCTGTATATGAACTTGTTGGCGCGTATACCTGTATAATTTTCAGAGACGTTCTTTTTAATTTAAGCATAATGTAGGCTACTCTGTCTGATATACCCTTGGTGGATTGTATGTATCTGACGACTTTCTTGTTTATTATAAAACCAACTCCGTTGTTAGAGTTATCTTCATTGCCTTTATAGTACAGCATGTTTTTTGAGTTTAATAGTATTTTTTGTTCACCTTTTCTTCTTATCTCTGACAGACCAATGACATCCCATTGTATATTATTTAGTTCTTCTTCTAATTCGTGAAGTTTAGTATCATCATTCATGGATCTGATGTTATATGTTCCTATGTTTAGTTTAGTCGAATGTTTGCCTCCCCCAGAATCCTTGAGGCAGACCGGTTTGTCGGTGTGGGACTTTGAGATGTAATCTCTACCCACCTGGGGTAATTTTCCGTTTGTTTTGTGATTCGACATGTTTGTTGAAGAGGGTTTTTTGACATTTAAACGCCACGCTTGTCAGGCGGGTTGGCGAGTGAGGAAACTTAGGAGTGTGTGAATGGGGAAAGGCGCAAGTTACGCAGTTTGTGTGTAGGGTGCGCGGCATGTATATGCCACACACACCCCCCGCGTAAAATGGGCCTCTTCCACTCAAACACGGTTAAGAGGACTCATCCAACACTCGGGGTGTGGGTGAGATAGGTTCTAGGTAAATAGATGGGTAAAGAACGAGATGGATTGTTGGGTAGGGACAGCGGTCAGCTGCTCCTGCAGTCGCCTCTTACGACCAGTAGGAGATCCTGTGGGTGTATTCTTCTTAGTGGCCCGCATCCCACACGGGACCTGTATATAAGTGGTTTACTCAAAAACAATTTCAAAGTTCAATTCGACGAAAAACCAGGAGACTTGTTAAATTTTTAAGCAATCACAGGCTGGTTAAAACGATTTAAGTCGAGACATGGCATTCATGAGCTTTAAATACAAGGATAAAAACTGTACTGTTTCAAATTCTAAATTAAATTAACGGGGTTACTGAAGGAAGAAAATTACGCCCTTCAAAACGTTTACAATGCAAACGAAATTGGTCTCAATTCGTAAGAATTGCCATGAAAAACTCTTTCGTCGCATCGTAAATTAGCAGCACTTATACCTAAAATAAGAAAGGAATGTATCACTGCCTTAGCTTGTACTAATACCTACGACCGACAGTCACTGATTGCCCCAGATTGTCATTGGTAAAACCAATAAACTGCGTTGTTTTAAACACATTAATATGTCTGTGTGATGTCTGTCATTTACAATTCGTAAAAGAGTGTTAGGATGGATAGTACAATTTTCATGGAATATTTTATAGAAACTTTTATATCCTGTGTTAAAGCCCATCAATTAAAATATGACAAAATAGAGAAAACATTATTGCTTCTTGATAACGTCCCAACTCATCTATGTTGGAATGAAAAAAATCTGTCCTTAAAAACCAGAAAACTTAAAAAACTACGTAACCTAGCCGCTCGTAAACGGGTAGACATGCTTTGGCAGAAGAGAACTAACGATTTTCTTGGCGTTAGTAATTAACGCTTAAAAATCTTCAGTTCTTCAAATTCCTATGTAAATGTAAGTAAGTATGTAAATATGGCTTTCATTCACCCGTGGATAAATATGTATGGCTATATCAATACAGTTCGATTATCCGAAAAAAACCAATTTTCCGAACACCCATGTCTCCCAATTAGTTCGGATAATCGACGCGACGCTCTACTGCATTTAACGAAAAAATGAACCTCTCTCAACCTTTGGTTTCTACCGAAGATCTTGGGTTCCATCAGGACATACAGTATCGACAGGAACATAAGTGCCTACTGATTCCTTTTGTGAAAGTAATAGAACTAGTACTCAATATTAATTTTTGCTATATAAAATATTTTACATTAGTATTATATGTATTATATGTTAGTATTTTAACTTTTATAAACAAAAAACATGACTGTACTAAGTTAAAAATTAGAATTAAATAAACTTTGCTATAATTCTTAGGTTTAATGGAAATATCAATATGTTATATAGATTTATTAATTGTACACAATCCATTCTATACTATTATTTTGATAGCAACGTAGCTAGCTTTCAAAACACTCTATTCGGTATCTTAAATAAATTAGAAGGTAGAGCAGAAGAAGTTATTGCAATAGATGGTGCCACTGACTGGTATGATACAAAAAATACAATAATATTGAACTTCGCTTAATAGAAAGACGAAAACTGTCAATCAAAATATAGTAAATCTTACACAAAGACCAAACCAATCACCTTATCAATTTCATGAAAAAGTGATGGATTTGTTAAAAACGATATACTTATATGATTTAAACCATGTTGACGAATAAAATGTATACAAAAGAGAACTTTTTAGCAAACAAGCTTTAAAAACATTTTTGGCTGGTTTGAGAGAACTATTAGGCCCAATATTAAGGTCAATCAGACCTCAAAGTAAAAACAAAAAAACAATAATGAGTCATATTAAAAACCGTAAACATATATATTACTAACATTCTGTTCATTCACAATTTTTCTAGGTATTACCTACCTGACAGACGATAGGTTCCCCTCCGCTATAAAAACAACAATCGAGCTTTCTGGAGACGAGTCGATGTAAAAATACCAGTTTTTTAGACTATTCACCGCCCTATCTACGTCGAGAATGCTATCGAACTTTCGACGATGTTCCAATGGTTTCATATAAATAACGGGGATTTTCATTGAAGAGATCAGTCAAAAAAGAAGCCCGCGCTCGCGTTTAAAATGTACGCACGTATAGATAAATTGTGTAATTAGTAGTCAAATAAATTGTTGTACAGTGGTTTAATAAATTGATAATAAATTATCATATTTTAGTAAATTAAAATAAGAACAATAAATTAGAATTAATAAAGACTTTACAATCGTAACAATTAAGCAAGAAAGTAAAATAAAGATTAAAAATGAGAGAACACGAAGAGGAGCATAATATGGATCAGATAATATCTCACTGACCGAAGAAATAGAAATGAGATTAAAGTATTATAATAAAATCGATCATAACCAAGACTACAGAAAATTATAAAAAGGGCTGAACGACATAATATCTAAATACTTTTAAAATATAAACTTCTTCAAGAATAATCAATAAAATATACTTAAAACGAAGGAAAAATGTAAAACAATACTTCACAATTATAATTTATTCGTCTTCCGGGTTTGGACCGTGTCATTTGTGAGTGACCCAAAAGTGGGTTCATCTCCGAGATGAACCCACGAGATGAACCCACTTTTGGGTCACTCACAAATGACACGGTCCAAACCCGGAAGACGAATAAATTATAATTCTGACTCTGGCCGTGGAAGCCTACGATCTCATAATACGTCACAAACTTCTTAAAAACAAAGTACTTCAAAATAGTAGAAGAGAAGATAAAATATTCACATATAAAGGATAAAATAGGGATAAAATTAAATACAATTATCTTGGGTACACTTTAATTAAAATGTAAATATTACATAAAGTGCATAAAATTGGATTATAAGAAAACAGCAACAGCGAAACTCAAAAACGAGCAAGAGTGACCCACATCCTCGAGCGCCCAAAACAGAAACTCGGCGCCGGGACAAGCAATACAGTTTGATGATAAGTCACTAGAGATAGCTAGACTAAAGCACCTCAAGCATAGTTCAGGGTAGGTTATCATGCGGGAGTTCTTGAACCCATGGCCCTACATTCTGTTGATTTGAAGCCTCTATATCGCATCAGCGTGATATCCTAGGGTGGAGGATGGTTTAAAGCATTAAGGTGGGTGGAAGATTGTCTGAAACAATGGGGCGGTGTGGAGTGGTTTTTGATTACATTAGCCTATCCCTCTTGCCTCGATAGATTCTAGTATTCGAATGTCATTCTTAATAGTGCGCAAGTCTCACAGGCTCACAGAGTTCAATACTACTTCTTGCTTGCTACGTTTGTAAGCTAGTACTTTATGAAAAGAGTAACAGATTCCGCGTTTACATAAATGACCTTGAAATTTTAATCAAATTGTTATAGCAGCTTGAAGGACGCAGTTTAAAAGCAGGAGGTTCATTATGATTACTGCTGTAAAGGAGAATCGCTTGTTATCTGTAGGTCAAATTCTAATCTAAAATACTTGATTACCACAACAATACGAACTTTAAGAAATACTAAAAGGGGTCTATGAAAAGATGCTAACAAATTTAACCCTACCATAGTAAGTAAAAAATAAACCTTTAACTTATACATACATCTTCACGTCTAGAAAAAGAGATACTCAACTATGGATTTAAAAACGTATAGTATGACTGACACTTTCCCGTCTGGAACTATACCCAATTGACTTTTTCGAAATAACATCAGTAAAATACTATTAATATAATGTATCTACCAACTAATTTTTCATAAGTTTCAATATTTTACAAATGTGTGGTGTTAACCTAATGATATAAAAAATAAGTTGAATTTATTTTAAATTAGGTAAAAAAATGTACGAATCATATAACGTCATCGGCTACTATTTACTTAATAAATATTACTTACCATTGTGTTCAAATATTTTTACTGTTGCTTTTGATAGTTTAAAACCAAACACCGCGCTGGAATGATTATGTCTATCACTCAGTACCAAACATTCAGCCGACAGAAATGTAGGTATAGTTAACGCATTCGTGGCATAACCCATTCCGAATATAACGGAATCTTCTACTCCTAAATATTCTGCCAGGAGTTTTTCAACCTCATCATGTAAGGCACATGTCCCATTCTGCACCCTAGAACTACCAGTGCTAATACCATATTGGTATATGGATTTGATTGCATTTTCTGCACAAGGCCCAGAATTTTCGGCAAATCCTAAGTAGTTGTAGGAGCCCAAATTTAAACACTTGTACTCGGCACCTACGGCACTGTAAGAATAAATAAATCTATGTAAGTATCTATTTATATGTAGTCGAATAGATATACATATATATATATATATATATATATATATATATATATATATATATATATATATATATATATATATATTGTAAAAACTACGACCGTCAATTTATATTAATAAAGTATTCAACTAGTGAATTCAGAGGTTTATTCGGTCAGTCAGGTTGGCAAAATAAAAAACAGAAGTCAACTACTTCATAAGTTTATCGAAGACGTTTCGCTTTATATTTCTAAAGCTTCATCAGTTCTAACTCAATATGTAGTATTAAAGATGTTATCGTATATGTACTTAAGTTTACTCATAGATTTAGAACTAACTTAAAAAAAATTAAACAGAAATATGCAAAAAATAACATTCGCAGAAACGAATCAGTGTTTTGTTTGTCTTCATTGGAGAACCATCTCTAAATGAAGCCAAATGTACGTTTGAAGTTTTTGTAAATCTTCGTTTCTGCGAATGTTATTTTTTGCATATTTCTGTTTAATTTTTTTTAAGTTAGTTCTAAATTTATGAGTAAACTTAAGTACATATACGATAACATCTTTAATACTACATATTGAGTTAGAACTGATGAAGCTTTAGAAATATAAAGCGAAACGTCTTCGATAAACTTATGAAGTAGTTGACTTCTGTTTTTTATTTTGCCAACCTGACTGACCGAATAAACCTCTGAATTCACTAGTTGAATACTTTATTAATATATATATATATATATATATATATATATATATATATATATATATATATATATATATATATATATATATATATATATATATATATATATATATATATATATATATATATATAGCATGATTTAGGTCTTTTTTCACATGTGTTATTAGGGCCAACGAGATTATTATCAAATCAGATGTTAGTTATGTTTAGGTTATCAGAATTTTAAAATATTACAATATGTGTCGCTTAAGTTGCAAGTGTCTGTCTTAAAACTATATGACTTTTTGTTTTTGGTTTATGTGCTACATTTCGAACAATGTGATAACTAAAGGGCGGAATATATGTATGAAAATGTATGAAAATATGTACCTATACATGTAAACATTTTTTAAAATATATGTAAGCATTCGTTGAAAATATATAATAAATAAATTAAAGCAATGATTATATAAAATGAACTGAAAACAGTTAACCAAATAACACAGAGCTTCCCACAACTTTTGTACCAATGTCGACTTTTACTTTTTGGCATTCCTTCTGAAAATTTTCAATTAGTTCCACAGAATAAACTAGAAGCTGCGACTTCTTTTCTAGTAACTTAATTGTAATAACTTAATTTGTGTAGGCACCTCCTTATTATGGAAAACTGCTTTTGATGATATGACAGCCTGTGAAGAGTCTGATATGTCGTTTATTACGTCTTTTATTCCATCATAATTTTCAGTGTAAAAATAAGCTGCACTTAGCCAATTACCTCATCGAGTTGATACAGGTTGGGGAAGTACCGGTACGTGCGAAGCCTCTCTTTGTATAATTGAACTCACAAATTAGCCTTAAGGGACACCTTCTTTACATTGCTAATTAATTCGTTCACAAGAGGAAATTGGGCTCTGATAATCTCTGCAACGCTGTTACCTCCATGAGCTAAACAAGTAGGTAATATGAAAAAATTTTTGATAAAATATTTTTAAATTTTGCCCCACCTTAACCATATATGAAGCAGGATCCGATAAGAAAATCACAAATTTATTTAATGGATTGGCATCTGGCAAAAAAAGTTTGTCAAAGTGTCTTGAATGCATCGTGTAATGGTCAAATTGTTGGTTTTTTCAAGTTGTTTTAAAGATATTAAAAATGAGTTTCCTGGACTATGTTCCTATAGTGCGCCAACTAGCAAATGAACAATATATCTTCCACAGGCGTCTGCAGTTTCGTCCACAATAACATAAAAGTAATTATCACGTATGACTTATCGTATTTACAACAACAGCAAATTTACTAAGATGTAAATTGGAAGGTCAGATAACAGAACAAGTGATAAAGTTTAAATATTTAGGCATCACATTATCTAGCTACGGAAAGCTTTAAACTGAAGTGAAAGATCAAGTGAATCGAGCACACAAAGCAGCAGGCTGCCTGAATGAAACAATATGGAGAAATAAAAATATCGGGAAAAAAACGAAAGGCAGAATTTACAAAACAGTCATCAGAATAATAACGATAAACGCAACAGAAACAAAACCTGACACAGACAGGACAAAAAGGATGTTAGAAACTGCAGAGATGAAAATACATACAAAAATTCATGGTAAGATACTATGGGACGGAGCTAGAAGTACAGATATACAACGTAGATGGAAATTCATAGCAATTCATGCAAGGTGGAGAACATCAAGAATTGAGTAAGAAATAGAAGAGTAGAATGGAACGATCATATAAGCCGAATGACAACAAATAGAATAGTAAAGACGACAAGAGACGATTCCCCAATAGAAAGATGATCAGTAGGAAGACCACGAAAACGATGGAACGACCTCAGTGTCGAGTGACAGATTGAGGAGTAGGCAGATTGAGACCTCAGTGCCGTTTGACGGTTCTTGTATCTATACACCATACTGGTACGTCACAAGTATGGGGAGTAGGTATATTGAGACCCCGAACTCGAACGGAACCGTATTCATCTTGAAAATGGCTCCAAAATGGGTGCCGAAACGTCGAGCATTAAATTCTCAACGTGGTTCTTCTCGAGAACTTAGTGATTTTCATTTATCTGACTGCGGAAATATATCCGAAGATATGTCTTTGTTCTCACTAGGTCATGACGTGTTTCGCATTTGTTGGGAACTCATTATGTAGACTCAGAACTGAAGACCGATTGAAAGAGAAAACGCAGGTATTTAAGGAAATTTTACACTTGACAAGATTACTATTTCTACCTAACGTCATACAATTTAAATAACAGAAAATATACACCACTATGTGTCTGTTAACTACATAAAACTCGCTTAAATATTTAAAATATTGCATTATAAGGTTGTATAAATTTACATTTGGTATTGCGATATCTTAAAACTTATGTAGGAGTACTTATAGACCTAAAAAAATGTGCATTGGTATGATATATTTCATATAACCTACCGATACTGTGAGTCTGTGGTAAACACTCGCTCTTTTAAAGTCACTTCAGGTCCTGCACTACTACATATGGTCCTCTGAATGCAGTCTTTAAATCGGTAAATTACGTATTTTAAATAAAACGGAGTGTAGCTATCAAGAATGTTTTCGTAACCTTTTCTGTTTTTCTCTTCTACTACTTTTGAAGGAAACAGAAATTTGTTTAAAAATCCGATTGCTATAAGAATGTAGTACCCAATCAGTGCTAGCAGTACTGTAAGACACGTCGGAGGTTCACATTCGAATTTTGATTTTGTTGATTTTTTTCGTCTTTTGTTAATACATTCTTTTTCCTGCAAAATAAAAATTAAATAAGTATATTGAGCACTATACCTACCAACACACCTATAGCTACACACTAATAAGAAATACAATATATCTGCGAAAACTAGGTTGCATATGTTCAATCCCAAGCTACCGACAGAATAAACGTGACGAACACCTTACACCTTGCTATTGGCCATAACTTATCAACCATCGTATTCATGTCGGTTGGGCTAATAGGCATGCACTTTCTTTGTTTTTGCTCTCCGTCGTAAAATGAGTCCTATACTACGTTCCACGTTTAGAAAATAACATTGCGAAGATAGGGCCATGTATTTCTTATGGACGATAGCAACGCGGCGTTGCCACGACACACACAAGCACAATTTAGGGTTGTATAATTTGTATTTTCGTTTCCACAAACATGAATTAAATTAACGTTTTTTAACGTAATTGACCAAAAGTGCCCATTCGAAACAAGAGATGAAAAGTAGGGAAAATGATTTTAATTAGATAAATAGTATTTACAAAAGATAATTTTATTTTATCTTATTTTAATTATAGTAACGACAGTTTATTTGTTTTTCAGTGAGAATACGATATGCCATGAATCATAGAAATCAGTAGAAAATATTGACGGCTTGGAATGCGTATATCTAATTACTAATTGCAACTTAAAATAATACGATGTGCGTATGTCAGCTATTTTATGTCGTTCTCTGACTACATAATGATAATAAGGCTTTTATTTAGTAGTTATTCAGACTTTACAGTTAAATATTAATTGAAAATGAAAATTCAAAAATTAAGCAATGGGAATATCTTGGACATCCGTGCAAAAGAGAGTGTCTGAGAGTTTTGGCAACACTGATCTCCATAAGCGTAATGTTATTTTCTTAACGTGAAACAAAGAATAGTAGTTAGTGGTGCAAAACTGTTAATTAGTTAATCGCTAGGTCGTTTGTTGATGTAGTACAAGTATTTTTTTAAGAACTTATTTATAATAAAGTATTTATCAAACTGCGTATTTTATTATTTTAGTTGGAAAAACTAGGTATAATAATAACAAGAATTGTTACATTACAATTATCACAAGAATAATAATGTGAATTATAAGATAATCCTACTTTTGCCTTAACTGACATTTAACAAAGGATTACAGATAAAGTTGGAGTTTGTTTGAAAAGTGTTTTCAATGTCATTAAAGAATATAAAAGTACCCACACATTATCTGCACCAAAACAAACCAAAATCGTTCAAATCAATAGATACTGTAGATAACTTCGATAAGTCAGCTATACTGTGACGCACCCGGGGGGAGGGGTTTGGGGGTTATACCCCCAAATGGCATGATAAAAAAGAAATATAAAGAATAGTAGGAAAATGTAACTTGTCTTTCAAACACAATACAAAAAATCCAAAACGCTAATTGAATAATTAAATTACCACTTTAAATATGTATAACACAATAATTTATTGTATAAATACATAATAATTAATATACAATAATTAATAATATTTTTCATTATATTTAGATATAGATACCTAATATTAAGCTTATACTTAGACAAAAGTAGACAGAACGAGTCTATTGCGAGTATCATGCGCCTATAGGACTGTATCTGCGGTGGCCTTATTGTGGACTATCACGGGTTGTGTTTCTCTGCATGTGTTAGCAGTAGAAAAGAGACATCTCTATGAGAAAAGAGATCATTGGACAACAGCTATAAAAAAAAGAAAAAAGGGAAAGAGCAATGAAAAGATGCCAAGAAGAGTGGAACAACAAGGAAGATGTTGCCCAGTGGACTAAGATGCTGATCCCGAGCCTAAGAGACTGGATAGATTGTCTGTTTTAGGGCGTATCTTCATAGGTTCAGAAAGACAGATACAAATAAATGTGTATACTGCGAATATTCCGACACTATTACTCGCATAATGCTGGAGTGTAATAGATATACAGTGGAGAGAAATATAATGTATAAAGAAATAGGTATAAACCCTGTGACTGTAAGAGAGATGATCCTGAAGGTGATGGGAAGTACGGAGGGATGGAATAGTGTTCACAATTACATCCGAGCAGTCATTCAAAAGAAAGGAAAAGAAGAGAAATACCAACCCGGCCAATGACAAAGATAAGATCTAATTACCCTTTTAATGGGAATAAGAAACAATTGAAGGTTAAAATAAGTTTATTGATGTTTGAATCTTTGATCTTTTATCTTGTACTGACAACTTTGAAAAATTGAAAAAACCACTGCCAGGGAATGGGAATCCCCATAGGAAATGACGTACTGTTTGTTCTCCCTGAACTTTGCGGATGACCAAGTCATTCTAGCTCAAGGTTCTTATGATACACGGCTTAAGAGAAACCGAAATTAAACACCGAATTAATCAAGGACGTAAAACTGTAGGATATCTGAACTCCTTATGGTGCAATCGCAATATTTCCAAAAGGAAGAAAAAAGAATAGGGCAAACCATGGTTGAATCAGTTTTTTGTTATGGCTCTGAAGTATGCACAATTAATGCAGACCTTAAGAGAAGATTGTTGGCAGTTGAAATGGATTCCTCATCCAGCCTCTATTTATCACGTCCACTGCTGGACATAGGCCTCCCTTAAACTCCTCCATTCCTCACGATTTTGTGCTCTTTGTTGCCAATTTTTAGTGATACGCCTGATGTCGTCGGCCCAACGTGTAGGTGGTCTTCCTCTACTGCGTTTGTCTGCTCTTGGCCTCCAATTTGTAATTTTGCTCGTCCATCGTGAATCGTGCATTCTCGCTACATGGTCTGCCCAGTTCCATTTTAGTTCCACTATGCGTTCCACAACATCAGTAATACTCGTCCTTCTTCGCAGATCTTCGTTTCTTATTCGGTCCCTCAACGTCACTCCCAGCATAGACCGTTCCATTCGTCTCTGTGCCACTCTCAGTTTCGAAGCCGTGGTCTTGGTTAAAGTCATAGTTTCCGCCCCATAGGTCATGACCGGTAATACGCATTGGTCAAACACTTTTCTTTTGAGGCTGATTGGTATGTTGGCCCTAAGTGTGTCTCGCAGTTTTCCAAAGGCTGCCCATGTTAAAGTAATTCGTCTTTGGATCTCACATGTTTGGTTATCCCTGCTGATTCTTATTTCATGACCCAAATACATATATTTCTCCACCAGTTCTACCACTTTGTCTTGAATAGTCAAATGGTTATTGGGGACCAAATTTGTCATAAACTTAGTTTTGGTCAAGTTTATTCTCAGGCCCACCTTCGAACATGCAAAATCCAATTCGTTTAACATATCTGTAGCTTCTCCTAAATTATCTGTGATAAGGACAATGTCATCTGCGAAACGGAGATGGTTAAGCTTTTCGCCGTCTATCGTTACTCCTCTGTGCTCCCAATTGATCATCTTAAAGGCATATTCTAATGCCGTTATGAATAATTTCGGCGACAATGTATCTCCTTGCCTTATTCCACGATTTATTTTTATTGGTCGGGTTTTATTGTCTATTTTAACAATCATAGTGGCATTTTTGTAAATATTATAAATAAGCTCACTATACCTATGGTCAATCCTGCTGTCATTCATTGCTTCTATAAGGCTGTCTAATTTGATCGTGTCGAACGCTTTATGAAAATCTATGAAAGTGAGAACAAGAGGTTTGTTATATTCTATAGATTTTTCAATAAGTGTCTTTACTGTGTGGAGGTGATCATTGGTACCATAATTTGAGCGGAATCCTGCCTGCTCTCTCGGTTGGTAGAAATCTAATTTTTTCTCCAATCTTGATGTCACTACCCTAGTGAAGAGTTTATATATGTGGTTCAACAGGCTAATAGGTCTATAATTTTCTAGGTCCGTTCTATCTCCTTTTTTATGCAAAAGGATGGTTGTAGCATTGTTCCACTCTTTGGGCACCTCTCTTTGCTGCAAACATAGATTGAATAGCTTCCTTAATTTATTTAATAGCATATCTCCTCCATTTACGATAGCTTCTATTACGATTCCATCCTCTCCTGGGGCTTTGTTATTTTTCATTTTTCTTAATGCTTGTCGAATCTCATCTAGTTTTATCTCTGGCATTAGTTTCGAACCTTGATTCTTGATCTTCTTTGAAATGGCTGTTTGTATTCCTGTTTTATCTTCGCGTCTACTTCTATATAAGTCCTCGTAAAACTCTTCGACGACCTGTATTAACTCGTCTCTACGTGATATTATTTCATTTAGCTTGTTTCTTAATTTATGAATTTCGCATTTCCCATTCGTTAGCTTTCTACGTAGAACTTTTAGGCTGTTATTTTCCTCTATAGTGCGTTTAATATAATCGGTATTAAATTTCCTTAAATCTCTCCTAATTGCTTTCGAAACAGTTTTGTTCATTTTTTTTAAAGTGTTGCTATCTACATTCTCATCGCTTCTCATTTGTCTTCTTTGATCCAAGAGCGTTTCAGTATATGGACTTATTTTACTATCTGATTTTCTTTTAGGACAGTGCACTCGGTGACTTTCTTGTAAGGCGTTTATGATGCAGTTATTCAATTCGTTAATATCGTTAGCGGAGGTTTCCTGCAATAGAAGCTTATTATTGATATGTGTCTGATATTGGTTGATATCTAATGGGGGTGTCCAGATACCATGAAATTTATTTTTAATCATTATATTCCTTTCTCTTTTTATATTGATTTGAACTTTCGCTCGTATCATCCTGTGGTCGCTGTTTGTGGTGAACTTGTTGAGTACTGTTACATCTTTAATTATTTGTTTTTGATCACTTATGATGTAGTCGATTTCGTTCCTTGTTCTACCGTTTGGACTTTCTTAAGTCCATCTTCTGTGCATCTTTTTGTGAAAGAAGCTGTTCATGTTGAATAAGTTATTCTGGAGTAGGAATCCTAGTAGCTTTTCTCCTCGATCATTTCTTCCTGGGGAACCGAATTGTCCTAACGATGTTTCTAGATCTGCTTCTTTTACCCCTATTTTTGCGTTGAAATCGCCACATAAAATTGTGAATTGAGTACGAGAATCATCAAGCGCAGTG